CCCCAAAACCCCAAAACCCCAAAACCCCAAAATCTTTGATTGAGTATGAAAAAGAAATTATTAAGATTTAAAATCAATTTTAGATAATAATATTTTAAGGATTTAATATCAGAAAAATGGGCAATGAACTTGGAAGACTTGACAAAGTTAAAACGTAAGTAACAATATACTCTTAAGATATATCGACCTAACAATTATCAATAGCTCATCAATGCTGAGGCAATCAATTAGTCGCATAAATATCCACAGAGGCAAGAGATTAAATGGAATTGCCAAGAAAAAGGATGATATTTGCAAGCATCTCGAAAGCTCAAATGAGACTAATGCTAAAATATGGGTAAGTTCAAAGCAGGTTATGCTTCAGACTAGTTGATAAACACTTATCATGATTCCATAAAATATCACATATGAAATTGATGCTAATTTACGTATTATAGTGCGAGACATTGATAAATGATGAAGCAATGATTCCAGTTTATGATGTCATTTCTATCATGTGTGATCAACTGAATGGAAGGTTATCCACCATTGAGAAGTTTGGGTAAGTTTATTGATTAGGATTTGCACGTATCACCCATCATCCATTCATTAATCAACAATCTGGCTAATAATGCTTCATAGACCACCAAAAGATATGGACTAAAACTTTCATACTTTGATTCATGCTGGAGCCAAGCTAGACGTCGATGAATTGGTAGGAGTAAGACACCAATTGAGCAAATTACTCGGAAAGCAATTCGTTATTCAAAGCGATACAGATATGACATGCATCAATAAAGTGGTAAGTTTAACTAAGCCAAGTCTAATCTATTAAGTCTTGAAATCTATTCTATAAGCGATTCATATTACTCTATTCTTATCTGAGAATATATGTCTAATGATAGAATTTGTTAGGTTGCAGATAATATTGATATAAAGATACCTGAACAAGGGCTTATTGTACTAAGACTTGTGCAATTAGCAAAGGAGAGAAATATTGACTACAAACCTTCTCACGAATCTCAGATTCTGCTCTAAGACTATTGCTTGAGAAAGAATCTTGCAGTAAGTATTAGTAACTTTAATTGTATGTAGAATCCATTAGAGGGTTCAGGAAAAGCAGTTGTTCAAAATCTAAATGAATTGCCAGTATACAACCCACCTCCTATCAATAATATGATTGACCCATCCATGCACAATTAGCAACCTCCTCCATTTTTCTAACCACCTGCTGGAGGAAATGGAATAGGTTTCTAATAACCCCCTCAACCATTTAACTACTAGTCATTCCAACCACCCCCTAATTAGTATCCTCCAATGAACCAGCCACCACAGAATTTCAACGCAGGAATGTTCCCACCACCAAACATTGGCTTGAATATTCAACCTATTAACTATGACATGCCTCCACCTTAGAATAACACTTAACCAAACTTCTCCATTCCAGATAACAACAACCCAATGGGAGGGTAAAGTCAACCTGATATGGAGAGATCTTAGAGCAGCACAATGGATGATATAGAAGCTAGACTTAACGCTTTAAAGAGACTATGAGAATATTAACATAAAATATCATGAATAATCCACTTTAAAAGTAATTAAATTTTCAATCTATTGTTTATTAAGACTTTGAAATTTTTCAAAATGGGGTTTTGGGGTTTTGGGG